GTGGAGCTCGATTCTGATTCTCCTGGGCTATGTAACAACGCAACTATCCTCGTTGGACCAAGAACTCTATCTCTTTCTTCAACTGAATGCAGTCATCAGTGTGATGACCATGGTCCCTGTGGTACTCGCAGTACTTTGAGGAGTCCCTTTTCGCCGGGTCCGCTTTCATTTGAGGTGGCCACCTCAGGAATTTTTTATTTTGTACTTCATACAAGATTTACGATATTGTTGTGGTGAGTGGGGGAATCTGCCGAGGTGCGTACCTCGGCTGCAGCTCCGGATGAGGTGGTCCCAGGCGATCTCTAACGTCCCCCCTTCTTTTTGGGGAGCGATCTCTGTCTCTTTTTGGGGACCTATCTCGTCCTCTCTCTCCTGGGACTTCGGTCCTTCTTTTTCTCCTCTTTCCCTTTGTCTTTTTGTATGGATGAGCTCCCCACTTTTGAGAGGAGAGCTTCTTCGCCATTTATGTACTTTTCTACTTTGGCCAGTACTTAGGTCATGCTGGCCTGGAGATTTTTCGAGATGGAGAACATCAGGTCTTTAGATTGGACACCCAAGCCAGCTATAAATGCAGTAATGACAAATTTCTCGTCTGGGACGTCCACTTTTAGCGATTCTGAGTTGAACCTCTGAACATAAGATCTGAGGCTCTTGTGGGGTCCCTGTTTCACATTTAACAAGTGGTAACTCGGCTTTCTGTATGTCCGAGCTTCTATAAAGTGAGACACAAAGGATATGGAAAGCTCCTTAAAATAGGTTAACGAGGCTGGGGGGAGCCTATTGAACCATGCTAAGGCTGAGCCTTTCAGCGTGATGGCAAAGCCTCTGCAACGCACTGGATCCTGGTATCCATGTAACTCCATCTGGTTCTTGTAAGTGTTGAGGGGATCTATGGGATCCTTTGTTCCATCAAAAGCCTCTATCTGGGGTACTCTGAATTTCAGAGGGAGGGAAAAATGCAGCACGCCAGTGGTGAACGGAGATTCAGTCTGTTGTACCAAAGCGTCCTTCGTAACTGGAGCCTTGCCTCTCACGACTTCTTTCATGTGGCTGAGCTCTTGCTGGATACCTTGGAAGCGCTGCTTCCAGTATTGTTCTCTCCTGTCCTGTTGATAGGGAAAAAAATCGTTTCTCTCACCTTCTTCGTTCTGATTCTGCCCTTCGTCGTTGTGGCCATTCCTAGGAGGTACGCGAGGTTCTGGCCCCATGGTTTGACTGTTTTCCCCTTCTTCGTTAGCTTCTCTGAGGGGGTCGAGGTGTGATTGTTCCCTAGGTGGGAGGTTGTTCTAGCCTTCTTGAGCCTGTTGTGCCTCCTGTGGGCGTTGTAAGAGCTTTAAAAGTTCTTCGTTTTGTTTCAGCAAACGTTGATTGACAAGGCGAAGGACCTCTATCTCGTTATTCATGGGGAGACCCCCCACGGGTGGATTGGTCTCTTGGACATTCTCAGGTTGTCTGCTATCAGTAGCTTCTTATTGATCTTGCACCCGTGGTGGATTTGTCTGACTTCGGTTCATGTTTCGCGTTGATACCATCAGTCACTGAAAAATTAGTTTGTTTATAATAGAAACAATCGTTCCCATAGACGACGCCAAACTGATGGTGTATTTCAACGTGATGCAATTTTGTGACGACGAGTAAATGAAAGAAACAATCTTGAAATTATTGGGACCTGAGCTACTAGGCTCGAGGAAGTGATATTGAGAATTGTTGGGGAGGTGGGGAATTAACACAGTAGAAATATAGTGGTTCATCGGCTCAAGAGCTCGGTTAATCCACTCTTCAACGGAGATTCTTGCTCCTTCACTATTTACTATATCAAAAAGGGTTATAGAATATACGATGTGATACTAGGGTTCTTGCCCCTCTGTTGGGGACTTTACATAATATTTATAGGGGTATCCCTTAATCTATGGGATCCGATCCGTGATCCTTGTCATCCAAGGAATTCTCTGTAGTCTTAGGAGAGTATCTTGGTTGGTTAAGGATTTTGTGTCTTGAGTGTTATTTCAAACCGCCTTTCAAGTTATTTGTAGTATCTAGTTGCTTCCTCCCTACTTCAGCTTATTATCTCGCTTTGAGGGGAGCTCTAACTCTGGTTTTCTGAGCTCTGCATAGCTCTGACCTTCTAAGCTCAGCTTACCTGACCTCCGTTCTCGAGCTCCAGCTCGGGAATCATTCTGAGTATCATCAGGTACTCTTGCTATAATGCTGATTCTGGGATTTATAATTTGATTTTGGTACTTGTATTTATAAGAATTGCAGTGGGATTGTAAACCATAGTGGTGACTCATGCCTCTTCAAATTCACTGCTCTTATTTCAATGCTATTGTAATCTAATTTATTAGCCTAATTAATTATGACCTTTTGATTGACTATGGTTCCCATCAAACATTGAAGTTTAATATCAATTCAAGAGTTATAGTGCAACCACATCATTAGATTAATAAACTAAATTAAATTTTTAGATCTAAATAACATTATTACTTTCAATAATTACGCTTTCTGGTTCTTAGGAATTTTCATTTAAATTGCCCATGTCAATCTGTTGGTTGAGAGAAGTCTCGTATACTTCCAGCCTGAGAGACCAATGAGGTCATGACTCATCATTATTTTTGATACGAAATGTGTCTTGTCTAATGTATATTATTATTTTTGACCGATTATTATTCGAATAAGAGGTTGTCACATCATATTTGATTAATTTAAATCTATATACCAATATTCGATTTTCTTATGATCCAATTAGCGTCATAATGATGAGTAAAAATCTGTCATTTTGTGTATACTTTTAATATGGGCTAGTTTAATTATTTAGGTTTTGGAGTGGGTTTCATTAAGTTAACCACTAAAAACCACGGTTTGAAAGACCAAGTCATTCAGTACCAAAAAAAAAAGACTGAGTCATCTCGAACCGTTATTCGGTTACTCCATTCCAGTTCAGTGTAACGTGTTGAAGGGAAGTCACTAATCAAATTCCAGAAGCAAGCATTGCATTTGATATGAAGTCATCTGCTTACGTCGTTAACTAGTTACTTAAATTAGGAGTGAACAACGATTTTGACTCACATTGGAAGTTACATTTTCTTTCAAAAGAAAATCAAAATTAGAATTAACAACATTACAACTTTTTTAATTTTTCGGAAAAAATATTTTTTGTTGTAATGCAACCAGGACATGTATATATATTTAGTTGTCATTTGGATTTTTTAGTTTCTAATATTGTTTAAAAAATGTAATTTAAATATAATTTAGGGACTTAATTAACTACGTACACTTGTTGAATTTAAAATGAATTTCATTGATCTAACCTTAAAATTAACAATTTATCTAGTGATTATAATGAATTAAGTCTTATGACATTGCTCATGCCAAAGCGAAATCAACTCTCAAAGTCAACATTAATTATTTCTTAATTTATTCGAACGGTGAAGCTAAGTTTTAATTATTTATTTTTGGTTGTGATTGTCTAACAATCCACTTTGGTTAGACAATCGGGCTTAAGTATTTAACTGTACTATTTTGGGCTTAACGATTTAAATGCACTATTTCTACTTACTCTATTTTTTAGAGCCATTTTGTGCATTGTAAACAAAGTAATTAAAAAATGACCTTAAATTTAATTTATACAAATATAAAATTATTATGCATACCTTTTACATGATAGACAATTGATTTTAATAATAAGACTGCAAAGTTATAATATATCTATACTACTTTAAAATATCGGAATATGTGAAAAACATTTTTTTTTCAATTTTATCCTCTAACGTTACAACGATGTCATCTATGTCCTCCATTTAATTCCTTCCCATTAATCTCCCTAACGGTTAACGTCTCCCTATTTGCTCTCTCAAATTAACAGACCTACCATTTACAGCCATTACACTCTCTCCTTTTTTCTCTCTCTAACCCTTGCAAATTTATGGCCCATTCTCTTCATCTTCCCCTCTGTCTCTCTTTTTTCCCCATCGTTTTCACAGATCAGAGAAGAGCACATTGCCCCCTTCACCGTCCCCCTCTCAGTCTCTCTTTCCCCAAATTTATTTAATTATATGTATTCAGTTACAAAAATCTCTTACCCAATATAGATTTCAATTAGGCATCCATTCTCTCTTTCTTTTAATTCTTTGGTTGTGGCTAAACACATCTCCATAATATTAATAGTAATGGAACTTGGCATCGGCATTGGTTTTTACAGGTTGTTTTCAGGACAAAGTTTTTTCACCCCAATATTAACAGCAATGGAGGCAATTATTAAGGTTTCTTATTATTTTTTTTTATTGTCCCCACCATAGGTATAAATCTTGAAGGTTTACTTGTTGTGGAATGCATAAAGAGAGGATCTCTTTTTTCATGTAATTGGAATTTTAAGGTTCATAGGAATGGAATTTGGGTCTTCTGTTCAGAAAAGGAAAAAAAATTTTTGGTCTTTTTATTACTTTGTTGGGTGAGATTATATTTACTCGGTTATTAGATTTTAGGGTTAATCTCATTTTGCACCCCGAAAGATTGTTCGAATCTCAATTTCCACCCTCAAAGATAAAAAATCTCAATTTACACTCTCAAA